CAATAATTACCGTCCTTACCTATAGAAAGGAACAACTATATATACTATTATCGTATAGGATCTGAATTATCTCAATCATAAGTGCAACAGTTCTGTTAAAGCGCACTGTTGACTAATTTGGACAAGGTGATCTTGAAGAAGCATCAACTGTGCATTACTAATTAATGCACCTTTAGCTAAGCAAATGCTAAGCGGCAGCCATAAGAGCAACTCTGGTCCTTTGGGATGCAGTATGACTGTACATCTTCATAACATTGGAAATGACTAGTGCCTTTTGCAGTAGAACCTGGCAGTAGGCCATTCAGTGGGAAGGGAAGTACATCAGTCTGCCTATTCAGGGCTCTTGAAAGACATTCTGTAGCTTGTGACAAAAGAATGCCCTCCTGTGGACCATCTGTCCAGGCAAGTGGCAGCATCTAGCTAATTCTGACTGATCTTGAAAAGCTAAGTAGGGTTTAATCTCATTAGCACTTGGATGGGAGAACACCAACAAATACCACATCTCTCTCAACAAAATATCTCAGAAGGCAGTGATGGCAAATTATTTCTGTACTGTTGCCAAGAAAACAATATGGGCGTGTCCATGAAGTTTTCAGCATTCAAGGATTCCTTCAGGACTTGAAGGAGTCTGTATCTTTACCAAGAAATTGAACAGATTGGAAGCTGATCACTACTTTGTAATACTGGAGACAGAACATATGTGTGGAGAGTAAAGAAGAGGACCTTGATGGAGATTTGCAGAATCTGCTGCCTAGGCAAAAGGGGCTGAAGCATTTTAAAAGTCCAGAACAAGACAACATTTGAAAGTGGCTCAGACCGACACCTCCCTAATTCACTGAAGTATAAGAAGGAGGAGGAGGTACAGCACAATCAGACTTGCATGATTCTGTTATTATAGCCAATTTTAATGAAGTAGTTTTAGCCTTCCTATAGTTTTGATTTCCTGGTCTGGTCTACTTAGTGGGGCTGTCAATACGGCACATACTATCTTGTTCCTTTACTGATACCGTCACTCACAGTAGGAGTAGGATCTTCTCTGTGGCAGCATTCCACAAAGGAAATATTGTGGGCCCCAGTGCTACCTTATTTTAAAGAACTGAAGACATGCTTGCTCACTAGGGCATTTCTAGGGTAACAGTTGCTCTAAGACCAGTCTGCCCCTGAGACTGACTTATATCATTTTAATAGTTATTATGTTATGGTATTATTTTATGATAGACAGTTTTATCCAATTTGTTTCTTTCTCTTGTTTGTACATTCCTCAAGATGTAATAATAATACTCTGTGGGCAGGTAAACTTTCTGGGATTGCTGATCACATTTTATGGATGTGGGACAACTTTGAGAGCCATAGTAGGTGAGGTAAGGAAACAAAGTGAGTGAAACTGCACAATGCCAGTATTTAAGAATGCCTATTGTCTTGAGGAAGACCCAGAAGCATTACTGTAAATAAAGATTCTAGTGGCTGAAGTTTTTCCTGTGTGCTGACCCAGCTTCCCATTTCATATTTTTAATTAAAAGAATCTTAAAAAAGTAAAGTTACCTAACCTTGTTGTAGACAGAAGATGATAATGATAAGAGGTGGCACATCTGGCTGATCTTCTCTGGCCACAGTAACTACATAGAGTAGGGCCTGCTTAGTACTCGAGGGGAGATTACAGGCAGTCCCCGGGTTAAGAATGAGTTCTGTTCCTTTTTTTTTTTTT